TTGTTAATTTGGTTTCCTATTGAGTATCAAATCAAAAATGTTCAAAATCGGCCCACTTGTTGGTATAGACACCCACCAATTTTTGGTATATTTAGGATTTCCGATTAGTTTTTCAAATCTCAAGTTAATGGTATACACACTTATCGAAATATTGTTTCTAGACCCCACGTTTCATTGGATCAAATCAGATTCAGACAATTTGGAGTCGATTTACAAATGACCGGCTGGTGCACACGTTATCTCTCCAAAGGAGTAACCGATTTCATCAAAATTTTGCTCATCGTAATATTTCTACCAATCTTCGCTTAATTTTTTTTTAATCCAATATCAGGCGAATAGAATGTCTCATTTCGAACCACACTTTGCATTATCTCTACCAAGCCTAGATCAATTCCAATGGTGAGACCCGCCGTCCCTCTCCTTCTGGTATCTGCCCTACAAAGTGTTAATATTTCATAAACCTCATGCTTATGGTATATATCTGCATATTTTCAATATCGATCCTTGATCACGTAAGATCCCCATATAATGATACCCTCTAATTTTCTTTATATTGGAGATCTTCAATAGTTCGAAGTGGTTGTAATTTTTAACTCGGGGACATTGTTCGGTAAATAACTTTTTCACAAACAAATTTCAAGTTCAAAACGAGTGCCTGTATGTTTGGTATTTCGTTTTCCTGATCGATTTTAGGTATGTTAAATGTTCACCAAATTGGAGCGTATAAAAAGGTTGCAAGACCTCAAAATATTCAACGAAGAGCCTATATAGTATATATTTAAGAACTTTATCACACATTGTAGGATTCGATTTTGGGATAGGTCCAAATTTTGATACATCTACATAATCGGTATTTTGAAGCTTGTAGCTGCGTTTCCAATTGAAGTGACTATAACTTGGCATTTCGGGTTTTAGGAGGTTAACGTCCTTTGTAAAAAAAATTCTACGCATTTCAAAATTTTGAAATGTCCTCTGCATAAAGCTCCGTTCCTTTCCAATTTGATGTTCCTGGACCAATCATCACAAAATTTAGCATGAAGGATCGCTTCTGGCCAAAGAAGACCCCCATTATTTTTGATAATGACCTAACAAATTGAAGGGATGGAATCGCTCCATCCCTTCAATTACTCGAACATCACGAAAACTTACACGGGGAAAGGTATACGACCATAGAACAAGTATGACTCTCTTCATGATCATCTGTATATATAGCGGGTCAAATGGATCCAGACTTGTGCTTGAAAAACGTCAACAATTTCATTCTATGGCGTATATATACCCCAGAAGGACATAGGCGGGAACACCAATTATGCTAATGTATGTAATTGGATGTGGGAGTTATTGGTAAATACGCACAGAGGCCTAATTATTTTGATATTGTTAAGTATTACGATTACCCCAAATGAGTGCATAAATTTCGCGCTGATCGCTTTGAAGTTTTACATTTAGTTCCGGTTATAGCCAGGGATAATGCCCACAATTTTCGGTGATGATCTATAATCTGATCATCAGGTTGGGGAAAAATAAATCCATTATTGTACTGATATATTCCTCGTAAATTATCGATCAAACAATTTGAGATCTATGATCGTTGGAAGGGTGACATTTCGCAGTAAAAAAAATTATTTTACTGTTTTTTGTTTGGTTACAGGGTGGTAAAAATGGAAGTGAACAAAGAGAAAATTTGGTAAATTTTACAGTTTTTCTATGTCAAAGGCGAAAATTCAAGCCAAGCAGCTAAAATTGTGAATGGTGTTTAGGATGCCGATACTGTAACAGCCAATTATGTGCAATTTTAGTTTCGTAGATTCCGTTAATTAATTTTTGATGTTAAAGGTAGTCCGGTCGCCGAAAATGTCGATAAAATCGGTCAGAAGTTGACCGGCATGAAGGCAGTCGTAACATCGCCTAGGAGCTAAAAATCGGCCATAAAACTGTTTATTACCATTTCCAATTGACCAGAAATGGCTAGAATTGGCCAACAGGAGAGGTGTCGTGTTCCATCAGAACAACGATAAGCCACACACATCTACAGTGACTCGCCAGAAACTTCGGGAGCTTGGTTGCGAAGTTTTAATGCATCCGCAATACAGTCCGAACTTGGGACCAAGTGATTATTAATTGATAAAAAATTGGATTCTAGGGAGGATTGAGAAAATCGACTACTATAGTTTTTGCAAGTAGAAAACAGGATTTCTATGAGGGAGGCATTATTAAGATATCTTTAAAATGACAATGATACAAGAAAACAGTACATATTTGAACCAAATCGGACATTCCGAATCATATTTAATAAAGTCCTTACTTCATATAAAAATAATGGATTTCTCTTTCCCCAACCTACTATGAACCGCTAAATTTTAACCAATGATGATCAAAATATTCATTTTTATTCGTTGGCCAAGAGCTCTTTCCCATGTAAAATTTCGGATCATCATTGTTCTCTAGAGAAATTAGAATATTACACAAGAATAATGTTTTGTGTCCATTTGTCCGGAAATGAACCTATTGGGGTTGTTACATAACTCCAACCTGTACATTAATTACTAGTACGAATTTCGAAGACGAAATTCCGATATCAGGGTAAACATTTTAAAAACTGTTGTAAATTTTATACGGAGAATCCGAATTGTTTCAAAATTGACGAAACCTTTTTGGTCCTACTTATACATAACATGGTTATAGAGTAAATATAGGCTATAAAATACCATCCCTCTGACACACTCAACAACTTAGAAATATATCTGTATATATATTCGTGATCAGAATAAAATTCTATGCCGGCTTAACGATGTCGGATAGAACATTTGCACATATATTGGTACAATTCCTAGGAGGTTTGGTATTGGAAATGGCAAATTCGTCCACTTTCTAGCGTATATGAAGGTATCATTCTTGATATTTCGAAGGATGAAGATTCATTTTCCAACCGAAAAAAAATTTTAGAGGCTGATAAACATATTTGCGGAAATAATCAATATCGGTTCATGTTTCAACGGAACCCCTGCAAATATATTTGTCAATATATCAAGGTCAAGGTCAGTTTCGATATTTTGAAGATCTTAGCCGCATTTTGTTAATCGAACTGTCTGAAATATGTCATTTCGGGTTCTTGGAGGGAGACAACAAATATGTAAAGAAATTTTTCAATATAAGACTATGTTCTGACATAGCCTCCATATAAAGGTCGCACCCCATTTGGATATTTTGAAGGTTTTAGCTGCATTTCACACCAAAGTGGTTGTACTTTGGTATTCCGGGCTCCTGGAAAAAGAAAAATATCTCTACATAAATTTTTCGATACAGATCCATATTTTGATTTGGAGCGCATAAATTTCTCCCCAAGTTTTAGTGGTTTTCGTCGCATTCTCCTTCAGAAGTAACTATAATTTTTCATTTCAGGTTAATACCAATTTCTGTATTTTGATGGTTTCAGCAGCATTTTTCCTCCAAAGTGGCTGTAGTTCGAGATACACCCACGTTATTACATAGCCTCATATAAATTTTCAGACCCATTTTCGGTATTCTGAAGATTTTAAACGCATCCTCTCACTGAAATGACTGTAATTTGGCATTCCGAATTCCGTATTTATAGGAATTTAAGGTTAGGGCTGATTTAAGGATTTTTGGAATTTATAGGAAGGATGATACCTCATGACTTGTGGGTATTTTTAATGTTATAGTCAAATTTTCCATCCGAATTGGTGTTTGTAAGTCTTATGAACTGTTCAGGGACAACAAATGTAAAATATTGGTAGTAAAGATACATGCTATTGATTTTTTTGTTACTCCTGTTATTTCTCTTGGGAGCATATGGCGTCCACAAAGCATGCTCATCTTACTCGATTATTCTTTAAGTCATTGTAGTATTCCAACTAGGTCAAAGCTAGCTTATGGGCTGCCCTCTATCGTGGCCTAGGGACAATGCCTCACGGAATTTTGTGCAGTGGGTTGGTCATTGTTTATTTAGTGATGATACTTTTCGTATGTGTAGTGCTATCTTCTAGCATTCCAATTTGTTGTTTGTTTTCGTCATGCCGAGATTGGTTATAGTTCCCATGTAAAAAACGGCCCTATTTTCGATATTATGAAGATTTTCGTCTTTGTAATATATAATCAATATATAGGTCATGTTCTGATAAAGCCTCTATATAACGCAACCTCCCAGTATTTTGCAGGGTATTTCGGGTTGGGTTGCGAACTCTCTTGCAAATATGTTGTATAATATGGGTATATGTTTCTCCTTTGAGAATCCGATTTATAAAAAACGATCAATTATTTTATTTAACGGTCGTGGTGATGGAAAAAAACGTTTGGACCCGTCGATTTTTAATTAATTCTCAAATTGGTGACAATTCTCAACATTAGAAAAAAAACATGACATATTTATTATCTGAGATTGAATATAGTCTCAGAACTTAACCCTGGATAGTCTGAGGATTACTTGTTTTACAAAGACACAAGGTCATATAATTTAAAAAAATTTTTTTTGAGGTTAATCTTAATTTACCTAGAATTGAGCATATCTCAGATTTATTATCCGATGCCTCTACATTTAATCCTTAATGACTGCTATATCTATATACAAATTTCTGAGCGATTACAAATCTTCAAAGAGGTATTTTCCACCTCCAACATAAGTTCACACTGCCTTAAGGTCGCCATAAAATAATGATTTTCCAACACTACCTCCAACCCAAAACTATTTGTCCATACCCACAATTCACGTGCCCTCAAAATATAACAGCCAAACCGACCATCCAATACAGCAACCACCACAACCCAACGACCAACCAAATTTGGTAACAACGACATATTCGGCCACTGTGCCTTTTGCCGTAAAGTTTTACTTTCTTTTGGATCGCACTTGCACCGTTGCGTTGAGTAGTATAAAATGTCGACGATTGTTGGCAAACGATATCATTTGTTTCGAATTCATTCGATCATCAACAACAGCAGCACATCCGCGGCAGTTTAAACGGATTTACAAATTTAAAAAACTCACTTCCTTTTCTCTTCGTTAAAAATGGCTTTCCGTTTCACTCAATTCTTGGCCATCGGCTGTCTTTTCTTGGTCGCTGTCAATGCTGCCGCCATTGACAACAGCGTTGCCGAACCACGCATTGCATCCTCGGAGGATTTGATCACCAACATTGTGGACAACTGCTTCAACGAGAATGGCATGCACTGCTTGAAGGAGAAGGTGCTCACCTATTTGGATAATGTTTCGGGTGTTGAGGAGGAGGTCAGCGGCCGTGCCTTGAGCGATGATGTCATGGATAAGGCAATTACCGATCGTGTTGCTCGCATCTTGACCACCAATGAAATTCGTGTACAATTGCCCCAGACCTTGTTCGATGGTTCCGTTATCACCTATCGTGCTGATCGTGGTTTCGATTTGGAAACTACCGAAACTGATGGTGGGTGTTGAGGGTGAAAGATTTTGTTTTGAACATTTTATAATTTGTTTATTTCTCTTTACAGCCCGCAGCCACAAGAAGAAGAACAAGTTGAACACCAGCTTGTTGTTGTTGGTCACCATCAAGGCCATCATCATGCCCATCCTCATGACTTTGATCAAATTGAAGGCCATCAAGGCTTTGATCTTGTCCAAATTGGCCATCAAATTGGTTTTGGGTTTCGTCATCTACAACTTGTTCACCAAATTGTCCGGTGCCAAGATGACCATGATGCCCATGTCTGCCGCCTCCACCGCCTACGATCGCAGCAGCAACGCTGATGCCCAATACTTGGCCTACAATGCCTACTAAAGACAATCCCAACTTTTGATAAAAATGGATCACCACCCCGCATCCACCCTGCTCAATGGAAGCTGCTAAGTTTTTATTTTGTACTCCCAACGGAAAAAAGTGGGGGGCAAAACGCATCGTTTGCCCTTACAGTGGTGTACAAAAGCTTATGTAGTTAAGTAGTTTAATTAAATTATTATTATTTATAATTTATTTTTATGCAAACAACAACAACCACAAAAATGGGTTCCAAAGTCAATTGGAACTCCCTTCCTTCCCTTTTCATTTCTGTCCACAATGTCTGTACTTTTCCCCCTCTATAACTTTCCCTCTTTCGATTTCACCTCCAGCTAAACTATTTCCGCTCATAACGAACAAACAACAACAAATGTCATTCCAAAGAATCAATAATTTAATTTAATATTTATTTAATTTATTTTTAAACAAATGAAGAAAATGCAAAGAAAAGAAAAAATAAAAAAAAAAAATATTTTTCAAAAAAAAAAAAAATCTCAACTCATTTGTATTCATTCCGCACCGCGCCTGCGCCGCCAGCTCTTTTAATTGACCACAGCAGAAAGGGTGAAAGTAATTAGTCATAATTTTATGATTAACTGTCAATCGAACCCCAACAACAACAACAAATTTGGTCATACAATGGAATGTGTGTTTCCCACACACACACACACACCAAAGAATATTTAAGGAATTTAGGTTAAATTCCATAATTTACAAATATTTAAATAAAATATTAAAAAAAATCGAACTGTACTCAATTTTTTAATTTCACTTTCAATTGCCTCCGAATAAAAGAATTTGGGTGGGGTAATGAATTTTGGACATACACTTTTTATTGCTCTCACTTAATTTGCCACTTTTTTTTAAATTAAAATAATTTCTCCCCAAAAAAATATTGAACCAAAATTCGAAGGTGTGTTTCCGGATTTCACCCTATCAGAAAAATTGCGATTGTTATACGGAATACAAAAATAGATTTGTGGCAGTATTTGCATTCGGGATTCAGAGATTGGAGTTCGGCTTGAAACAAGAAAGGGCCACTTCGATCTTCAAAATACCGAAAATAGGGTTGGAACTTTATATGGGACCATGTCAAACATAGACCTATGTTGCATTTTTTCTGCAGAGATGTTTTTTACCCTCCGTAAATCTGGAAGGTTAAATTACAGCGTGTGCTGCTAGGCCTTTAAAAATACCAAAAATTGGACTATATTTATTTATATGGAAACAAGAGATTTGTTAGCACAAATATTCAACCTTATAAGAGCTTAGGAAAGGTCCCCATATAAAATATCAGGCACTCTAAAGCTGATTTAGGGAAGTCGTAGTTTACCGAAGTAGAAAAATATTGCATAAGTCGAAGCCTACAACATCTGTTTTGGGATTATTAAAGATCTTTGGAGAGTTACCGGAAGAGGTTACCGTCTAGACTCCATTTTAGCAGTTAATAATTTTCAAAGTTCAGATCAAATCAGACATTCCATTATCTTGATATTAGATTTAGAAATTTTCAAAATGTTCACACTTTGTGAAGAAGGTCCCAGAAGGAGTGGGCCAACAGGTTCTTTCTTCAAACTCGATATCAGTGGGGAATGTATATTTCCAGGTGCAAAGTTATGACGTTTGACTTTGTTGCAGATAAAAAAAACTGCAACAAAGTCAAACGTCATAATTTTTATCGGATTGGTATCCGGAGATTTTGGTGGTCATTGTGCGCTAGAAATGAATTTTGCAACCATTCTTAGGTGGCGCGTGCTGAGTCCTGTTGGAATTTTCAAGGTCTGCGGCCGAAATCTTTGCGTACCCAAAGCTTTAATACACCCTCCAGAATATTTTCGCGATAATAATTGGCATTTATTCTGATGCCGCGGTCGATTAATACGAGGGGAGAACGACCATCGGCTGTTATGGCGGCCCACACCATCACCATGGTGGTCAACCGAAGATGCACATTTTCAGCTGAACTCTTTGTCAAGTAGGGTGGCGTAGGGGATGATAGCTACCAAGCAACGACTTATCTTGGTCCCCCTTTTATCTGAATTGTGGACACTGACCTCTCCGCGGTGTCACCTGGGGTAGCTATTTTCATCACCCGTTGAAATAGTGAGCTGATATGTGCCGCGAGCTCACCCATAAGAACCAAAAAAAAAAAAATGGGTTGAGACATCGGGTTAGTTGCCCACACTCGGAAAACCCCTCCTACTGTGAAAAAGCAAAGAAAAAGAAAACCAAACCCCCTTATGTTAACGACCCCCACAAACGTGTAAAGGACCACGATCTGCGAATCTGCACTTGGAATGTGCGCACGTTGTACAGAACAGGCGCAGTTCTCGCTTGGGCGGATGTACTCAATAAGTACAAAACCGATATTATTGCCTTACAGGAAATGCGAAGGAAAGGGACAGTCGTAAGTAAATTAGACGATTACGCCCTGTGTTATATATCTGCCATGAAACGAGACATGCATTTGGCTGCGGATTTATGGTCAAGAGGAGAATTAAAGACCTCATCTCCAGATTTACTCCAGTAGATGAGCGAATTACTATAATCAGTCTCTTCTACATCAGTCTCATTTGCGCCCATGCTCCGACCGAAGACAAAGATTAGCAGACCAAAGACATATTTTAAGAGCGCCTAGAAACAGCATGTGATCGTTGCTTTGGCCATGACATTAAAATTCTGCTAGGTGATTTTAATGCTAAAATCGGAAGGGAAAATATTTTTGGTCCCACCGTCGGAAAATTCAGCCTCCATGAAGAAACATCAGACAACGGCATGAGGTTGATTGACTTTTCCGCGGCAAAAAACATGGTAGTTAGCAGCACCAGATTCAAACATCTCGATATACACAAAAAATTCTTCTATATGGAAACCTGGTGACAGATATAGACAGCGTGTTGAGGATCTGGAAGGAGCATTTTGAAAAGCTTTTGGTATCAAATAGTAGTGGCGAAGAAGAAGATACCCCAGAACCAAAAAAAGCTGACGGTATAGAGTGTATACCACCTAGTCAAGATGAGGTCAGAATAGCAATTAATCGACTGAAGAACAATAAAGCAGCAGTAGCCGATGGATTACCAGCCGAACTATTTAAGACCGGTGGTCAGATGCTGGTCAGGCTCAGCATTTGTACAATTTGGCAAGAGGAATGCCTGCCCAATGATTGGAACCTCAGCATCCTGTGTGCTATGTACAAAAAGCAGACAAGACGATATGTAGTAGTCTCCTTTCTATATAATAAGTCTCCTTTCCATCACATATAAAGTGTTATCCAGCGTGCTGTGTGAACGACTAAAGCCAATGGTCAATGACTTCGGGTCATACCAATGCGGCTTCAGGAATGGCAAATCCATCATTGAGTAGATTTTCACTCTGCACCAAATCCGGGAAAAACCCACGAAAAACACATCGACCAACTATTCGTCGACTATAAAGCCGTATTGGACAGCCCTATCCGTTCAGAGGTATTTGAATCTATGTCTGCGTTTGGCCTTCCTGCAAAATTAATACGGCTATGCAGGATAACTTTAACTGGTACAATGCCAGCAGTTAAAGTAGGAGAAGACCTCTCGGATCCCTTCAATACCGAACGACGATTCATTCTGATTCTGATATTGTTTATTATTACTATTACCCCACTAGAAAAGTATTTGGTATCAAATAGGGCGAAAAGTAGAACAGATCGCTATGAAATTTTACACGAAACTCCGGTTATGATCAAGGACGAAAAGATGATATTTATACCCTTCACCACACTGTGGTAATACCCTGTACTATTATGTCTTTGTGTATAGGTTTGTAACAGGCAGTGTTGCCAATTTAGCACTTTTAGTGCTAGATTTAGCACTTTTTGAACTCGTTTAGCAACAAAAAAATTGATCTAGCACCTAGCACTTTTTTAGCATTTTTTAATTTCTTAGCAATTTATTTACAAAATGTTGATTTCAATGCAAAAAATCCCGTTTTTCGATTTCATATTGAATTTTGTATCACGCGATGAATTTGATTTTTCAATGCTATCCAGCATGAAAATGGAAAACCAAATCAAGTTGTACATTTTATGAGAGCGATGTAAAAATAATGAACATGAATTATGTTGGAACTTTCTGAAAACAAGTTTCCGAATGCCAAGCTATAACCACTTTAGATTACCGAAAAAGCGAGCGTACCCATTTATATTGGAATTGTGCCAGAATAAGGACCAAAATTGAAAAATTCCGGCAAACATATTTTTATATTAAAGTCGCTGTTGGGAATGAGATTATAAACCCTTGAAAGTACACAAATGGGATGAAAATTGATAATTGTCTTCATATTTGTACGCAATGTGAAATTACAGTTATTTACCTCAACCAAATTTGGACATTATTAGTATTTATATTTTAGTAGGAAGATTTCAAACCCCATCAAAACAAAAAATAGAAAAAATTTAGTCAATTCGGTTGCGTGTCCGACGTCCCCAAAATGTCGAATAAGGGGAGGGTACCGCTCTGTGGGGGCTACCCCTAAATATGGACCCATATTAATAATTTTTCATACGGAGATATTTTACTCAACAAAATTTAAACAATCAAATTAAAACGAATGCAATATTGATAAGTTCTAGTAAGAAGACTATATAACCAGGTAGAACACAATATACAAATATACAGCAATTTAGGTTGATGGTGTACATATACCGACATTTGAAAACTATTTTAATATAAACAAGTGAAAAAGCGTTAAGTTCGGCCGGCCCGGTTATATGAGGACTACCCCTAAAAAAGGGTTAATATTAATAATTTTTGGTTGGGAGATTTGTAACCATATACGACTACAAAATACCAAATTTCAGCGAATTCGGTTGAAAAACGCGCTCAAGAACCTCAAAATATCGAAAATTGGGGGTACCGTTATATGGGGGCTACCCGAAAAAATTGACCCATATTTATAATTTTTTGTGGAGTGATTTGCTACCCAATGATTTGCTACTAAATTACAGCCATTTCGGTCAAAACCACCCA